TCCTGCTGAGGGATCCGAGTATGCTGCTTTCTTATTGTTTGCCAGCTTTCCTGACTGACGTGAAGAGGAGGGTATGACAGGACACCCCAGGGTGCAACCTGGAACTGGGGAACCACTGAGCCCTCTGTCTCACCAGCCTGGGCTCCCTCTCACACCGTGCTGCTGTGACAAGCTGCAGAGCCCTCCCAGTCCTGCACGCGCACAAACCTTTACACAGGCAGGGACACACCCAGCTGCAGTTACATGAAGGCTTCTCCCCAGCTCCACAGCCTAGGACCCCAGAGCTGTACCGTCTTGCCCTGGTCAAAAGCCTGCCCAGTATAAATTTATTACCCAGTCCGCCTCTCCCTCAATGTGGAGAGGAACAGGCACAAGCCTTTGACTGAGCTGAGATTTTCCCCCAAGCACTTCACTTAAACCAGGCTGGTTTTAGGTAAATATAAAATAGATTTATTAACCACAGAAAGAGAGATTTTAGGGGATTATAAGTAACAGCGGACAGATCAAAGCAGATTACCGAAGAAATAAAACAAAATCGCAATCTCCGTTCTCTAAGCTGGATAGGATTTGAATCGAGCAGTGTCTCACCCTGTTAGATAGTACAAACAGTCCACCCAGCTTCCATACACAGGCAGGCTTCCTTCTTTCCCACCTGGGGCCCCCCTTCCCAGGTCAGTCTTTGTTCCTAAGGTGTTTCCAGGTGCTCTGATGTAGGGGGAGTGAGGCCAAGTCATGAGGCCACTTCCCCCTTTTATATCTTCTTCCAACTTGCTGGAAAGGTCTTTTGCTGTGACATGAGTCAAACAGTCTCCCTTGGGTATGCGCAATCTCTGAGAGGTTTCCATTGTGCACAGTTCCTGGGGTAACCCTTGTCAGTGTTTGTATTCGCCTCAGTGAGCCATCAACGTTGTTTGGCCTTTTTATTGTTGTACCTGAAAGGCTGCTTGTGGGTGTTTCCAACCTCACACCATGTTTCAGTGGCACAAACGTAGCAAAACTTCATATACAGTGATAGCACATACCACTTCACAGGATATTAATGGTCAGCCGATTAAGACTTTTAAAATGATACCGCACAAGGCATAGTTTGTTCAAAACATATCATAATTACATCACCATGGTGACTATGGGGTGTAGAGTGTCACAGAGGGACCAACTCTCAAACTGCACAGATGGGTCACAGAACGCAGCAATAGTGGTTCTCCAGAGAGGAGGAGGTTACAGCTGAGGTGACAGGCCCGGGGTAGAGTTAGATTTGAGAGTCATTCATGTATCATGAAATTGCTTGGGAAATTAGTTTAGCGGGAGGAAAAAGGAAGGGTCTGAGGCTGGATCCTGATGAATGCCAGGAGCGAGGAGGATGAGAAGTCACCAAAGGGGAGACACAGAAGGAGTGGTTGGTGGGAAAGGAAGGGATCTAGATAGCGTCAGAAGCACAGAGAGGGGAAAGGTGTGAGGGAGAAGGGGCAGGTCGACAGTGATAAAGAGGAGAGATGGAAGAGACGGTGCATAGAGAAGAGTCCCTTAGATTTGGCCAGGAAGAGGTTGCTAATTACTTCAGCGTGAGCATTTTTGGTTGGTGAGGATGGGAGGCATTTTGGAGGGGACTGAGGGAAGGAGGTGGAGGCAGCTGGAATAGACAGGTTGGAAGGGAAGGAATGAGAAGGGTTGGTAGCTAGAAAGACAAATGATTTTGAGACTGAGTTTCTTCTTGATAAGGGAAACAAGATCCTGCTTGAAAGCGGCAGGAAAGGAGCCCAAAGAGGGAAGAGAAGTTAAGGACAAGCGAGTGGGTGGAGATGAGAAGGGAGCTAGTTAGAAAAACAGGTAGGATGACATTGAGTGGACAGAAGGCGGGAGGAGACCTTGAGGTCTCTGACTGGCATAGAGGAGGCTATACAGGGGTGCTGGAACAACTTTCATAGTGGGGGTGCTGAAAGCTGGAACCACGTCTCTGGTTTTTATTACTACATGAAGCCAGGGAGTGCTTCTGCACCCCCCCAGCACTCGTAGTTCCAGTAGTGGGTTGGGGTGAGAGCAGTATGTAATATTGTCACTGAAAAACAATCCCTCTTGCAACATTTTCCCTGACATTATTTTGGGGAAAGTCACCATAAATAGCCTGCCCAAACTGGCAGAAATGCGTGCACTAAATCATTGTGCTGCTGACGAGCCACTTAAAGTTACACGGGTAAAAGAATCTGGGTGGTGTCAGGCAGAAACACCAGTCAGATGTTTCCCTATGGTTCACTCTGTACCTTGGCACTGCCCTTTGCTGCTCCAGCAAATTACCAAGTTGCGGCATCCAGAGCAAACTCAGAGGACATTGCCTGGTGCGGGCTCTGCTCCCATGTCACCCTTCCACTCCCTGATCAAAGAAAGTTGTTTAATCTTCAAGACTATGGACTCTATAGCCAAAGTACACAACAAGTGTAATGCCGAACAGCCATGCCTGATTCCATGGAAAAAATTAAAAGGGGTGGAAAGGCAATGTATTTCTTCACACAGCGCACAGTCAACCCATGGAACTCTTTGCCAGAGCATGTTGTGAAGGCCAAGACTATAACAGGGTTCAAAAAAGAACTAGATAAGTTCATGGAGGATAGGTCCATCAATGGCTATTAGCCAGGATGGGCAGGAATGGTGTCCCTGGCCTCTATCTGCCAGAAGCTGGGCATGGGCAATGGGGGATGGGTCACCTGTTCTGTTCATTCTCTGTGAAGCACCTGGCATTTGTCACTGTCAGATGACAGGATACTGGGCTAGATGGACCTTTGGCCTAATTTAGTGTGGCTATTCTTATGTTCTTAATGATTAGTGTTTACCATTGTCAAAGGGGGATTAGGGAGCTGTCAGTTTTATACTCTGAAGATGGATTGTATTATTCTCTCCCCATCTCATTTTATTAATAACTTTAAGACTTTCACAAATAGGCTGAGTTGGCTGGTACCAGTGCCCAATTACTTGGTAATCTCAAGACACCAGCTGGTGAGCACTTCAGCCCTGTCCGGCTGCTCGCCTTGATGAGGCCCAAGTCAGAGCTCACTGTGCTGTTTGCCACTGAGATACCGGTGACTGTGAGGTGTTGAAATGCCTTGGGACACACCTGGCTAGTCCAGAATGCACTTCTACCGAGGGTTGTATTGTTATATTATATGACTATCAATGCCCTTTTATCTATAGGTGCTGACATAATTTCTGTCATTTATTGTAGTTATTTCCTTCCACCGGTAAACATCACCACCATTTTTCAAGATTGGATTCTTGAACCAAGGCAGCTAACTAATATTTAGACACCTACATAAACGGTCTGATTTTCAAAGGTGTTGAGTGCCAGTATGAAGTCACTGAAGCTACTGGTGCTCTGTTGCTTCAAAAATCAGGTGTCTCATTTATGTGCCTAATGTGGATTTATGGGCTAGGGATAAAATTCTCAAAATCACATAAGTCCCATTTTCTAAAGCGACGTAATATATGTCTATACTGAAACAAAACAAAACAAAAACCAACGTGGCAGCAGCAGTCTCAGAGCCTGGGTCAGTTGACTCAGGTTCATATTACAAGACTAAAAATAGCAATACAGATGTTTCCACTTAGACTGGAGTCCGGGCTCTGAGACCCTCCCCATGTGCTGGGATTTTTAGCATGACCTCTGTGTGAGCATGGAGATGGTGAATGAGGCTTAGCTTTCATAGGGTTTCATAATCTAATTTTTCTGCGATGACAATTGCACGGAGGAAAATTCTGAGGTCTGCTTGAGATAATCCTTGAGAGACAGCCTATGGACATTAACTTGCATATTGCTGTGAGCACATACGTCTTCCATACGCAGAATTGATGTTGATAAGGCAGGTACTTCTTGGAAAATGAATTTGAATTTGGGAAACAGGGTTCCTCATTGGGACAGGATGTATTTGCCTTCTTGGGGGAATTGGAGTGTAGTATAGAAAAGCATGGCTAGGAAAGAGTAAATTCCTGCCTCTGAGCAAAGAGGGGGCACAGGCGCTGACTTTCCAAAGTGCCAGGGGTCTCACAAAATATCTGCTTTATGTGTTAAAGCCCCACCTCCTGGAGTCATGGTAGTCTATGAGAATCTCCACTTTTCATTAACCAAAAACAAACAAACGTAGTTTCTAACCTTGTTATTGGAGAAAGAGTCTTGAAAACATGACCCAACTATCATGAAAAGGCTCAGAAACGAGGCCATTAAAAAGAACCCAACATTTATTATGTTTTTTTAAATATCATGATTTTAAAGCCAATCCCTTGTGATATTTTGGGGCCTAACTCATGATTTTCGAATGCTTAAGGCATAGGCACTGATTTTTGTTTTTTTGCTTTTGAATAAGTTTGTGTGTTTGGGGGTGTGTGGCTATTTTCAGCATATTTATACACTTCTTTCATATTCCAGTTATTGAATGTGTCTATCGTTGGTATCTTTACTATTTTAATAATGATTCAATTGTTATGAACTACATAATTACATTATGACCTCAGAAAAATTAGATTATGAAGTCCGGTTCGTTGATGCTCATCGACCAAGGGAGGCTGCATTGACAAAGCAGGTCGTCATATGCAGCCCCCCGAGCGTAGAGGTCGGCTGCCTGTATTTCTTGGCCAGTTTGGAATCTGTTCAGCAGGGTCCAAAGGTGACAGGCCCCTGGGCTGACTCTGCCTCCCCTAAACTCCCCCCCCAGCCTGTAGGACCCCCCCCCCTCCAGCACAAGGGCTCCCTGCACCTGGAACTGGACACATTTCACAAGGGGCAGCTGCAGAGGGCCTGGACCTCAGCACTGCCTGTACCCCACGAAGGGGGGGGTGGTAGAGAGAGCCCACTGGCACTGCATGCTGGGGGCTGTAGTCTTTCTGTCCCGCGGTGCATGCTGGGATCGGTAGTTCGCCGGCCCCTCTTGGGGAGCTAGGATCAGGCGTCTCTGCCGAGAGGGTTTATAATTGGTTGTACACTGTCACGTGCTCCGATCCTTGCTCCTGGTTGGCTGGTGGTCCAGTCGGCTGCCTCCGGACCGGGTAGAGCGGGCCGGATGTAGCCCAGGTAACGGGCCGGCAGCGGGTGGGTCCTGGGATGGGAGCTGAGAGCCCGGGGCGGGCGCTGGGTTGTGGGAAGGGAACCCTGAAGGGAGGGGATGTGAATGGTCTGTTGTGGGGAGGGGAGCGGCTGTGGGGGGGAGGGGTCGGGGGCAGGGGTCTGGGAGAGGTTGGGGGGGGAGCGG